GGGGGGGGGGGGGGGGGGCGACTCAAAGCCATGGCTTCTTAACCCCTCTGAGCCTCTGCTTCCTCACTCAGAGCAAGGTCACTAACACCCACCTCTCAGCGTTCCCAGGAGAGTTCCATCGGAGAATGTATTTAACCAGGCTAGCATGGCAGTTGGCATAGAAGCAGCCTTGAGAAACGATGCTTCTGTTTTGTTTATGATGAACCCCTTAAAATGTAAGATTTGTAAGCGATCCGTGATTCCTCGGTGCAGAAGCATTGATAAAAATGCCAACAAGGTGCCAGCCTGAGTGTGCTTTTTTAAAACAAGGTAGAAAAGGCTCCCTAGTGCCTTATGGACTGCTTTTGTATCTTAACTCTTACCACACCCCAGGGTACACACATGTAAGGCGGAGCCATGCTGCATGTCAGCGTAGGGCCTGTGGAGGCAGGCTGAGCCGCAGAGGTCCAGGACGTGCCGTTCCCTGAGCAGTGTTTCCTCTCTGTCTCCCAGTTAATAAATGAGAACGCTGAAGCAGTGGACATGGAGAAGGCCGGACACCCCGGTTCAGAAGCGCCAGCCGCCACCAACTACTTCCTGCAGTACATCAGCTCCAGGTCTGCGCCTCGGGCCTGGTGCCCAGCCTTGTCCGGGAGAGCCTCCGCCTCAGGCCCGTGGTCGCCCACGGTACCTGCCTCAGGGCCCAGAGAAGCCTGGACTCTCCTGGACCAGGAGCCAGCCCAGTCCTTCCTCGGGGGGGCAAGGGCACGTGCAGCCAGAATCCCAGTCACCCTGCAGCCCCTCCCTCTTTTCCGCTCTGGACACAGATGTGGAGGGGCTGGGATGGCGGGCTTCAGCAGACATCTGAGGCAGGACCCCTGTCCCGTGGGCTTGTGCAGCCCAGCCCCGGGAGTGACCTCTGTCACCCGGGCCTCGTGCCCAGAACCGAACCCAGTGGGCCAGTGACAGCTCGGCTGTCTCCTGTCACCAGGTGCTCCCTGCCCTGGATCCAGGCTCGCCGTTGGCGCTACTGGTGGTGGCACTTGCCAACAGCCTGGCTGCCGGGGTGTTTGAGAAGGAAGGCTCGTCCCTGCCTGGGAGATGGGCCAGCAGAGCAGGCGCTGTGCGGGCTCCCACCTCGGAGAGGCCCGGTGGGAACAGTGACCTTGCTGCTTGGCTGCCTGGCCCCTGGTTAGCAGAGTGCATCAGATATTTTAAGACGCATTTTTTGCACCTGAGTGTTTCCCAAATTGGGAGGCACGTGCAGCCTGTGATGTCTTAAACCGGATGAAGTGTGACCGCCAGGGCAGCTGCCGTTTGCTGAGCGCTCCCCGAAGGTCATCCCGTGTCACCTGCCAGCCGCCCCGTAGGAGGCATCACCTCCTTGGTGCAGGCCTGGGGAGGGACCCAGAGAGCTGCAGTGCCTCCCGGGGGCAGCCCACTGGCAAGGGACAGCCGGGTTTGTCTGCTGGGAGTGGACGGACCGCCCCTGCGCTCAGCCTCTGTGCGGTGCTGCCCACCTCCTGGGGGTTGGGGAAGACGGGCATCTGGTGTGTCACACGGCGCCCGTGGGCAGTTGGTACCAGGCGGTGCGAGCCAAGGGTCTGTGTTTGCCGCCTGGAGAGGCCTGGCATGGAGGCCTGCGGGTACCTGTCCCTGGCACGCCAGCCCAGCCCGAGGCGGAGCGGGGCCTCGACCGTGCTTTCCGCTCCGACCGTGTGGGTGCTCCGCGCGTGTGGGCGCGCACACCGCCTGGCCCTGTGCCACCCTGCGCTCACAGCATGTCTCCTCTTCAGTTTAGAGAGCTCAGCCAACAGTGCCGACGCCGCCAGCAGCAAATTCATATTTGGCCAGAACATGAGTGAGCGCGTGTTGGTGAGTGACCCCCGTGGGGACTGTCCTTCCCAGGGCCTGGAAGGCTCTCGGAGCCTCCCACAGGTCACCGGGACACGTGGGGTGTGGCTGCTGCCTTGAGTCCTGTGAAATTAGAATGCTTTCTTTTCCAAGTAAGAGAAAGAAGACCCAGCTCAGACTCAGCTTAAACGGGGCGGGGGGGGGGGGCGGCGCTGGGGGCCTGGGGGGGCTCTGTAGGAGCCAGTGTCGCGCATCCTGTCCTTCCTC